CAGACCGCCATCATGTCGCCGGGATATTGCTGAGTGCGGCGTTAAACAATAAACAAACAAACAAAAGCAGCACCTGATAAGTGGTCATCAGTATATTGCTGTATCACTCTATGATTGTACGCATGCACTACACGCGTACAGCTCCATATATGGGAGATATCAGACAGAGCCATGTAGAGACAATGCGAGTGAAGCCTCTAGGTGTTATCAGGAACATATATGGGATAATTAGGATATACTAGTCATGTTCTGGTGACTGAAACGAGTGTATGTGACTCTGATACTATTTTAGGACAATGACACGGGTATTGTAGTGACACATTCGTCTAAATGAAAGGATTGCTGCACTGCCTGGTAATTCAATCCAAAAAAAACCCAAAATGAAACGTTCGTGTGTCAGTTTGGGTATGGCTCTAAGTGCAATTGCGTGGATCGTTGCTCATGATGTCAATCACTGGATTGTCTGGTCCAGTTTCGATTATTTACATTATTTAGCTGGAATATTGCCGAGAGCGGCGTTAAACAACAAACAAACAAACAAACAAACCCCCTTATTTGAAAACCAAATGTTGTATGTTTGTGGAGAGTGAGATCCCATCCCATCCTTCTGACACAGGAAACTTACCTGCCTGGGTATCCCATGTTCGACGGAGTTGGCTACAGTTGTTAACACATATTGTATTCACAGAAACTGATTATAGGACTGGGTATCCACTCCCGGAGGTGAGGTGAAATTGGGTTTAACGTCGCGTCCAAGATTATTGCACTTATGTAGCGACGTGCATGCACGTGTATGTGTGTGTGTGGCTGCTTGTACTAGTCCGGACTGATGACGATTTATAGTGCTAGCTCACTGAGATACCATGCCGCAGTTTAACATGAATACCCCACTCAGACACAGTATACTGACTCCGAGCCGACCAGTCCTTGTTTTAGCCCCTTAATGCCGAGCGCCAGACAGGGTAACAACAAGTACAATCTTTTAACGTCTTTTTGTATGACGCGGCCCGGGATCGAACCCTGGACCTTCCGCTCTCCGGGCGGACGCTCTACCACTAGACCACGGAGGCAGTCTCCACTCCCGGACATGTTCACAAGAGTTCCTTCACAATTCCATACATTCAGTGTAGAGGTGGACAGAAGACTCAAACACGATAAAAGAACATATTTTCTCTTGAACAATTTGTTTACTTTTATTCATGAATTCTTGGACCGATGGAGAAATGAGTTCATTAGTAGTCGTACATATGTTTCAAATAAATTGCGGGTCAAAAGAAAGTATACACTTGAAAATTGGATTTGAGAACAAAATTAAAAACGTTAACAAATTCTGGCTCAAGTATAGCAGGAAACGTTATAAATTAGCTTCTTCTGAATAACACTTAGATAGTACATTAATCATGTCCAACAAAAAGAAATATTTATAAATAATTTATAACAAACATGCCTTATAGAAGGTAATGACAATAACATTTAACGAAAATGGGTGTACGCAGGAGAAAAAATGATAGCTTTAATCAAGATTTTTGAAAAAATTCAAATAACGAGGAACAATATATATTAATACGGAATAGAGATCTGACGACACTCGTAACACATGCGCGTGTTTTTTAGCACAAGAACAACACGTGTGGCCAGTGCATGTCACGTGGTGACTGTCTCAAAATATCCGATGACACATTATGACGCATTTTCTTAATCAGACTGAACTGTCAGAAGATTCACAATTAATGGATCAGGTTTGCTGAAGTCTAAAACCTTTGATTGGTGATGCTGTTGCTCAAATTCAATTTCATTTATTATTCGTTTATTAAACCCTTGTCAGAATGGCCAGGATGTAAAAATAAGACGTTTGCCTTTTCTTGACGGTATCTCTGGGGACAAGACTGATCATTTGGATCATATATTGTCAGAGGCATCGTTCTTGTTCACCAACGTTTCATTAACTTATACTACCCAAAACAAGTTAAGGGTCACCAAATTTATTGATGATATTTTGTTATAATACAGAAAGAGAAATATTTTATATTTATTGTAATACAGTTTGGTAAGTTGTGGTTACCAGAAGCATGCAAATCAACACGTGAGACACGTCAGACGATACTTCAGCATTGAGGGGTCAAACAGAAATGTGTTACACACGTTCGCCATGTCAATAACGAGTCAAACCACCTCGTGCTCGTAAACAGTTGGACCGCCTCCGTGGTCCAGTGGTGGAGCGGCCCCCCGGGGAGCGGAAGGTCCGGGGTTCGATCCCCGAACAGTTCAGTTCGATCCCCGGCCGCGTCATACCGACGTAAAAAGATGTTACTTGTTGTTAACCTGTCTGGCGCTCGGCATTGTGGGGCTAAAACAAGGACTGGAGTCAGTATACTGTGTCTGAGTGGGATCTGCGGCATGGTATCTCAGTGAGACTAGCCACACACACACATACACGTACATGCACGTCGCTATATAAGTGCAATAATCTTGGACGCGACGTTAACCCCATTTCACCTCATCGTAAACGGTTGACACACCAAGTCTTTGAAGGGCATTTAGAAGTGATGCACATAAGGAAGAGAATTATGGCTGTCAACTTCTTTATGAGGAAAACAACTTTTCGGAGTATATATACTAGCACTTTCACTTCGATTCAGTCTTGATAGTATGTCTGTTTGCGTTTACCTCAGTAAAACGTGAAACCTTTACTCACTGTTACTATAGTACTACATCCCTATAATCTCCCGAGTATCACGAAAAAAGATTGACTGACAGTTATTGAGATAGGTGTGGACTTACCTTAGTCGGGCGGGATGCACGGGTGGTCCAACAATGTAATACGCCGTGAAGAGTTACGTCCCTTAATCGCGTGACGATCCTCTAGTCGTGGGTTCGCATCTCAAAGTATAATCCATCCAGAGTTTTAATCATGCACTAGGACCGTGTGTGTGGTTACCTAAAGTGGTATTCGTGTCCGACACTTGTCACGTTGGGCTTTCCTCGTACATGAACATGACAGGCTGATAAAACTGAAACTCACTCACTCATGCACATAACGCAGTTTCCAGTACGTGACATGTGTTACCACAACTCGTCTTCGTATGCGTGTCATAAACGACGTGACAGCTTTTTGAAATGCAGGTACGAATCGCGAAATGGAAATTACATTTTTCTTACCGATAAATGGTACATGTATCACAGTTGTTGAACTGTCTGTGTGCATCTCGTATACTGCAGACAGCGTTGCGCAACTGTGGTCAGTGAAGGAATACAAAGACAGTATATTACTGTAAATGCGATAAGAAAATCTACGTCTTGACATACATGTTAGTATACACACCAACTGGTCTTTATTGACACAGTAACGCCCTCAGCAACACCGGAATCTGGAACTCATCCGACGTGATTCCGGGGTAGTGAGTGAGTGAGTGAGTGAGTTGGGTTTAACGCGGCTTTTAACAGTATTCCAGTTATATCACGACGGGTCAGCTTAATGTGAGAGGAAAGCCCGAAGTGATGCAGGTCTCAGACGTTTACCACTTCGGTGAAACCCACGAGCACGGGTGTGGTGCTGACAAACCTAGAAACATAATTGGGGCGAACCGGGATTCGAACCCACAATCATAGGTTTCTGGCGTGCCCAAGCGACGCAACTCTGCACAGCGAATCGCGGCGCCTCAGACGACTGGGCCACCCGTGCCCCCGATTCCGGGGTAGAATTGATCCCCCACAAACCTTTGCTTGTCGTTCGAGTTGCTTGAGTTACGATGAGTGTGACGTCAGGACCCTAGAGGGTGGTGTGCAAGTATAATTCTGCACCGATGGCGGGGGTTGTTGCTCATAATTTCAGTCAATGGTTTACCTGGTCCAAATTCGACTTAATAGCTGAAATATTGCTGACTTTGACGTTGAACAACATCCATTTGCTCTCTCACCCATAGACTTGAGTATGCAGTTTCCATCTTCTTATTAGAAAGCAACATGTCTCAAAAAAACTTTCAACAAGCAAGCAAACAAATCCCTTTTAAACATTGCTTAAGTGAGTGAGTGAGTTGGGTTTAGCGCGGCTTTTAACAGTATTCCAGTTATATCACGGTGTGTCAGCTTAATGTGGGAAGATAGCCCCAAGTGATGCAGGTCTCAGACGTTTACCACGGGTATGGTGCTGAAAAACCTAGAAACATAATCGGGGCGAACCGGGATTCGAACCCACAATCACAGGTTTCTGACGTGCCCAAGGGACGCAACTCTGCACAGCGAATCGCGGCGCCTCAGACGACTGGGCCACCCGTGCCCCACAAACATTGGGGCCTACTGTGACCCGGAATCCCCACCTTGTGTTGGGCTATGGTTAGCCCAGCAGTTAAAGCGTTCGCTTGCCGAGTTGAAGAAGCTGGTTTTATTCCTCATGGGTACTATTTTAAGGTCATTGTTCAACCTATGCCTGTACGAGTCAACATCGTGTGGTTAGGCTTTGATCTGTTGGGGGGGGGGGGGGGGGGGGGGGGGAATCAGTGCTCATAATATCAGTCACAGGATTGTCTGGACCAGACTCTATTATTAACAGACCTCTGTCATATAGCTGGAATATTGCTGAGTATGGTGTTAAACAACAAACTAACCAAACAACTGTGTTGCAGGTTACACACAACCAAATGTTTTCCCATAGACTTCCATAGTAACATTATATTTAAAAAAAAATTAACTTAGCATTCAACAGCTATTACCTGTACGTGTGTGCACAGTTTGGCCTTAGAGCAGCAATAAAAACAAAAAAAATGACTAGTTTAGGCGTCAAACAACAAACACAATTTATAATGTATATTAATTTAGCAGTCAATGATTACCTTTCTTGTGCACTAATTACAATGTCTAAACCTTGGCCAAAGTTTGTTGGAGCGGACGTGAAGCGTGACAAGGGTAGAGTCATCTTCCAATCAGGTTCTCCCATGGCATATACTTATATGGAATACAATGTATACGTACAGCCTGCACAAAGGCCCCAAAACATGTTCAGCCGGGGTGGTATATATATGACACGACCTGGAAATCCATGTTTACACTTACTCACTGCTGACCTACTAACGGGTTCTTATCACCAAATACGGCCGCTTACAGGTTAATACATCATATAGTACGCGGAGAATTTGTAATTTGAAGGGAATACCTTATCTGTTAGTTGGGACGTTCCCGGATCCCAAGTTGAGACCGTCAAACAGCTGTCAACATTCGGAAGACATCGTCAAAACAACAGACTCGCGTGAGACGCCTTATAACGAGGTGAATATCGCGTCGCTATATCCTGCTATCTGGGTGACAGGGTCCGGAGTGGTGCAACAATAACGGTTGTTTCATGGACGTGACAGTGTGAAGTTTATGCCAGTTGTGGTGACACTGTTCGTAGTCGTCAGCTGTGTTTCAATTCGACATGGGTACTGCTGAAGAGAAAACACCCCTTTTAAGTTCGGGGGCGCACGAGAACGTACAGTACAACGAGGATGTCAAGTTCAAGCCTGGTGATACCTCAAAGAATAAGGGGTGAATAATTCAATACTTTTTCTTGTATGCGTGCATTCAAAATAGATCCCACATATGATAGTATACTAGTATGTATCGGATATTTACTTTTTTGTTTGTTTTATTTGTTCAACCTTTAAGCACATGTCATGACACTGGTTAAAGTTACATAGGTATTTCATATTTGACCAATCGATGACATTTTGAAAGTGCCTTTGGGTTGAGCATCAAGTTTGCTTGGTCCAGACTTGATTATATTGATAGGCCTCTTACCAAACGGGCAAGAATCGAGCAGGCAGCAAATGTTTTATCACTGATTTATATAAATCATTTATTAAAACATAAATATAAAGTAATAACATTTACCAGGAGCTTTGTGAATGTTGCTTGAATCAGTCAGTCAGTTACACCCCCCCCCCCCCCCCCCCCCCCCCCCCCCCTGGTTCTCCTCTTCTGGACCCAAGCCTCTCGACTCATCCACTATCTCCACCCTGTCTACCCATTCCCGAAAAGCCATCCACTACCCCCCTCTACCCATCCACTACCATCCTCAACCCCCCTCTACCCATCTACCCATCTACTACCCCCTCTACCCATCCACTACCCCCCCTCTACCCATCCACTACCACCCTCTACCCATCCACTACCACCCTCTACCCATCTACTACCCCCATCTACCCATCCACTACCCCCTCTACCCATCCACTACCCCCATCTACCCATCCACTACCACCCTCTACCCATCCACTACCACCCTCTACCCATCCACTACCCCCTCTACCCATCTACCCATCCACTACCCCCTCTACCCATCCACTACCACCCTCTACCCATCCACTACCATCCTCTACCCATCTACTACCCCCATCTACCCATCCACTACCCCCTCTACCCATCCACTACCCCCATCTACCCATCCACTACCACCCTCTACCCATCCACTACCACCCTCTACCCATCCACTACCCCCTCTACCCATCTACCCATCCACTACCCCCTCTACCCATCCACTACCACCCATCTACCCATCCACTACCCCCTCTACCCATCCACTACCACCCTCTACCCATCCACTACCATCCTCTACCCATCCACTACCCCTCTACCCATCCACTACCACCCTCTACCCATCCACTACCCCCCTCTACCCATCTACTACCCCCATCTACCCATCCACTACCCCCTCTACCCATCCACTACCACCCTCTACCCATCCACTACCCCCCTCTACCCATCCATTGCTTTAACCAACCCTTCCCCCTGTCCCCATTCTCAACCCCTGCTATCAGTCAAGTCCAGAAATGATTTGTTTTTTGTTTGTTTGTTGCTTATTGCTGCACACAGCAATATTCCAGCCTGTAAATAATATAGTCTAGACCAGACAATCCACTTGTTGACATTATGAACATAGATCCACGCAATTGGGATAAAAGTCAGCGAGCCTGACCACCCGATCCCATTTGTCATCTCTTACGACAAGCATGGGTTGCTGAAAACCTACAGCAACCCAGATCTTCACAGGTGTCTAGAAAATGAAACTTAACAAGTGATGTTCAAATGAGGTACCAGTATGTTTGATTCTAAAGTGTATTTTAGTTTAATTCAATATTTTAATGGACACTAATACCCTTAATCAAGTGATGTAGCAACTTCAGGTGAAGCATTGAAACTGCACTTAATATACCTGTGAAGATAATTCTGGAGACCTGTCAGTCGGCCCTATCCCAATGATAATCATCAGACATCCCATTGAGATAACAATCAATGGCTGCTAGTCATACTAACAATATGTCGTTGCGCGTGGGTTAGTCATGCTGGGGACGCTGATCATAATTATTTGCATATTCCTGTATTGGCTAATTGGCAGTCCAAGTTGGGTTTCTTTAAGACAAGTCACTCAAATACCATATTTGAAGGGCCCTGATTTCTTGGTCAACATCTTGGTTTGCATATTCTTTTAATCATCATCATCATCATCATCATCATCATCATCATCATCATCATTATTATCATCGTCTTGTATTGTGCTTTTTCTGTCCTGGATGTCATGCTCATAGCACGCCATTACCCAGACAATTGGATCACAATGCATTCGATTTCAATTCTTGGCTCACTGAGAATACAACCCAATTGTTTCAATCAAATTTCTAAAAACTATTTTGAAGTGATTTCTGAAATTTTTTTATGGTGCCAAGTTGAAGGGTCCCTTTCCTTCTGATATGAACTTACTTTGAGGTCATTTTGTTTTTTGTTTTTTAAAAACTTTTTTATTGTTCCCAGAGTTGTAGATTAATACAGTATTCCGTCAAAGACATATTTCGGATTGCATAGAAGGGCACAGCTTTGAAGTCGTTTTAATTACTGAAATTAGTTCAAGGAATCAGACAGAAAAATTACTTTTCTCCAAATTATTTGATTTTGCTTTTATCTGATTTTGCAAACCAAATTATTACAGAAAGTGCCTAATGAGAGTAGGAAACAGTCTTGATACAAGGGTTTGTCTGAACCAGTGACATTTTGTTGATGCTTAAATGTCAGCCATAAAATTGTCACTGTCAAGGTAATGACAGGTTTCCCACTGAAAGTTCATGAAAATAATTATTCCAAAGAATTAAATAAAAAGCTTCTGACACTTATTCATCTGATTTGTGTGTACTGGCGGCCTAAAATTATTGTAAAATAACATGATGAAATTAATACAGAATTTTACCGGGGCATTAAGGGGCTAAGACAAGGACTGGTCGGCTCGGAGTCAGTATACTGTGTCTGAGGTGGGTATTCATGCTAAACTGCGGCATGGTATCTCAGTGGGCTAGCACTATAAATCGGCATCAGTCCGGAATAGTACAAGCAGCCACACACACACATACGTGCATGCACGTCGCTATATAAGTGCAATAATCTTGGACGCGACGTTAAACCCAATTTCACCTCACCTCACCTCACCTCACCTCACCTCACCTCACCTCACCTTTACCCATGGGTACTGTGTGTGAAGCCCACTGCTGGAATTTCCCATTTTATCATGTCTGAATAAAGGAAGACATTTTGATAAAAGTGTCATATAATATTTACTGTAATCTTATATGATGCTGTTTAACAGGGTTAAAGACCACAAACATAAGAAAGGACTAACCCCTAAAGATCAGGACAAGTTCACATGACCATAATTGATTTCATGTTTATTCCAATACTGATATTATTAAATATAAATTGATTTTGAAAACACCTATATATCTTTCAAGTGACTAGGCTTTATTATGCTCGAATTAATTCAAATTAATTGTGATATGTTTTGCAGGGAGAAATGAAAAACTTATGAACCTAATATCAAAATTAATAAATCCTGAGTATGCCCATTCAATATGATTGTATGCTATGATTGTGGGAATTGCTACCGTATCATTTGCAGTTGCAGGCTAATATCACTCATATCCTCTTACCAAATAACCTCTTGTAAAGAACCAATCAGATACATATTGGAATATTTTCTATGATCCATGTCAGGTGATGCCTTAATAAAAAATGGAAAATGCATTCTGTGGGTCACGTTAAGATGTCCTAAATCAAACTCACTTACTCTTGCCCTTGTTAGGGGAAAAGCAATAAGTCTGGACTCTCGAATAAACTACACAAAACCAAAAGAAGCCTTCAGTGTTTAGCTTCCTTACAGATTGAAAATTGTCAATGTATGATGCGCCAAACTCCACTAAAGTGAATGCTTATGGCGCTACACACATTATTATTAGCTGCCTGTGAGGATTCAGAAGGCTAACAGTCATATCGCCATCTCATCCTACCGGGTACCCATTCACTGCATGGTAATCAATTTCAATAACTTTAAAATCTGACATTTCCAGTGGGCCAATCAGGACCCTCATCCCGTCTCTTCCCCTGTATCTGCCCAGCGAGGTGTGTAATAAGGACATGTGTAGCAGACAACCTTTCCTCTTCATCACAGATCAGGCGGTCGGGTAGCCTAGTGGTTAAAGCGTTAGCTCGTCACGCCGAAGACCCGGGTTCGATTCCTGACATGGGTACAATGTGTGAAGCCCATTTGTGGTGTCCCCCGCCGTGACATTGCTGGAATATTGCTAAAAGCGGCGTAAAACCATACTCACTCACTCAGAGTCAGGGGGATACAGGGCCATGTAATTATGCACAGAAGTATTTAGGGAAATATGATAAAAACTTTTTCAAAATTAATTTCTTAAATTGTTGATTGTTATGTCTGATGCGGTGTGATTAATGCTACAAGCAGGATGGGCCAGTTATGAGAGTGATAACACCTTATGACTCATTTATTGAGTCAATTCTAAAATAAACTTGTATACTCATCCCTCTGGCATTAAGTTTTAAAATATTTTGTTATTAAGCAGTTGTTTGTTCCTTTACTACACATTTAAAGTGCAAGTTCAGAATTCATTCATATTTTACCTGTGGTTTGTTTGGGTTTAGGAGATTTATGTAAAAGGTTATCAGGATTGACACATGTTAGATATGCTGTTTCATTGTTTTTTGTATTTTTAAAATGTTTATTTGAAGAGTGATATTTTTTAGGATTTTAGGTCATCTGGCTCAAAGGTAATCTGTTTGTACACCGTCGTCAACTTGCAGATTGGGGACATTTTTTTTACCACAAGGTAACAAGTACATTGAGGTGTCTCCTTTATAGATTCCTTCAGATTAGGTATATACAGAAATACTATCTGATCACAGAGACATCAACACGTGAAATAATTAATGATAATGGCTACTGAGTGACAAGTTTATGCACAGATCACAACTCCAATCAGATAATGCTGACATTCCAGTGGCAGTCATTTTGAAAACTGTCAATTTTGGTAAATAGTTCAACTTCTAGCTTGTGGTACCTTTATAAGCGATACTATAGTGTTTTGAGAAAATGCATCTTGTATTGTGTGTATATTTTATAGTTTTAAAACCAGATCTGTGTGTCTTATTGTTCCAATGACGGGCCAACCCTACACTTAAACTTAAACCCCGAATGATGTTTTGTT